TTTGGATGACAATAACCCAGGTGCAATTCACAGCAATTTTGTCAACTAGAATTGAAACGCCGCTATGGGGACATCGGTTGTTATTACAGGTGACAATCTTGCAACAGTGCATATTATTAGAAAGGGAAGGGCTTCCAGTCACTGTCACTCATAATTAATAAGCTGATGAGACGGCTAACTTTATTGGCTATGCAACATAACTTTGTCTTCTTAGCCCACCATCTCCCAGGTGCAGATTTTTAACCATGAATAATGTTCCTGTTTCCAGTCCTTTTCTGCCATCAATTTCTGAAAATTTACTTTTACTTTTTATCACTTATTGTTATGAACACTTGCATTTGAGTGCTGCTACTATTGAGTTGTATTTATCTGGTATCAGATTTAAATATATTGAGGCAGGGTTTCCTAACCCTTTAAGGTCATTTCATGGCGGCCCTTTAGATAGATTAAAGTTGCTAATTAAAAGTATTAAGCGTGTGCAAGGAAAACCACGTAGAGCGAGACTTCCATTAACAGCTAACATTGTGGCACAATTGATCAAAGCTTTAAAGAAACGAGTTTTCACCCCCTACACAGATGTTTTATTAGAAGCAGTCATTTTAGTAGCTTTTTTTGGATTTCTCAGGTGTGGGGAGTTTGCTATAGACACAACTCAATTTGATCACCAGGTGCATCTATGTGTAGAGGATGTAAAATTCAAGGATACAAGTCGGGTCTACTTAACTCTGAAAAAGACCAAGACTGATCCGTTCCGAAGGAGAACTACACTCACTCTCTGTAGTAATGATAGCCTCTGCCCAGTCAAGGCTTTACAGGTTTATATCAACTTACGACGTCACAGGAATCCTTTGGTTAAACCATGCGATCCCCTATTTATTTTTAGAGATGGCCTACTATTGTCATGCTCGCGTTTCTTACATTACCTTCGCTCCCTTCTTAACATTATTGGAGTCGATGCCAGGAAATATTCTGGTCATTCCTTTCGAATTGGGGCTGCCACCACAGCAGCACATGTTGGTGTTCAAGACCACTTAATTAAATCTTTGGGACGCTGGTCATCTGACAGTTACAATCGTTATATTCATGTTTCTGACAAGTCCTTATTTGCAGCCCAGTCAGCATTAGTTAACAAAGTTTAATACATTGTAATTCACAGGGAGTTTCTAGTAATGTTTACATTTTCATGTTTTCCTACCATCCTTTATATCTTGGGGGTTATTCTGCAATTGAAACAATTGCATCATTTCGGGGACTTCGCTTATGAGATTAGCTCATATTCCCCCAAGATCATTCATATTTTCTTAGGTATATTTTGCGTGGGTTTTATTATTATTGTTAATTTTATTATTGTAATTACTAATACCTCATTAACGACTTCACAGGCAGCCCTCGCTGCGTCAATGTCTAAACTCAGTAGTTGCAGCCCCCGCTGCCTCTACCCATAACCTCTTAACTTCATGCAGCCCCCGCTGCATAACCATGGTGTAGCCGCAGCACTCGCTGCCTATACTTTACAGTTGCAGTCATGCTGCAATCTGCCATTCCATACTAACATCATGCAGCTATGCTGCACCAACCAACATGTTTTCAGTCTTATTCTAGTTTGTATTTTAGTTTAGAAACTGTAAGCCAGCTAGTTTACACCTGCTTTGTTCTACATTTTGGGGGCGGCACCAGGGACCATCTTATCAGTCTGTTATGCATTGTCTCACTTTTGTGTACGATGGTCTTGTGGTGTGCCCCCCTATTTGCCAAATAAATTATTGGTTCATGTACATGCTCTTGTGTTTGTGTCATAAATACAGGTTTAATGTGTAATATTAAACCATGTTTATGACGCAAATCTCATGCTCTCTAGCGTGATATTTACATAGATCTCGCACTTTCTCGCGTGGCTCAACATCACAATCAGTTTGTTTCTGGCACCATATTGGAAGTAGCCTGAAAGTGTTACGGAGCTTCTGCTATTCTCGTTTTATTCACCCGCCACCATCCCCATTCTCCCCCATTAGGCTGGCATTAACACCAATTCGGGGGACTTCGCTTATGGGATTAGCTCATATTCCCCCAAGATCATTCATATTTTCTTAGGTATATTTTGCGTGGGTTTTATTATTATTGTTAATTTTATTATTGTAATTACTAATACCTCATTAACAACTTCACAGGCAGCCCTCGCTGCGTCAATGTCTAAACTCAGTAGTTGCAGCCCCCGCTGCCTCTACCCATAACCTCTTAACTTCATGCAGCCCCCGCTGCATAACCACGGTGTAGCCGCAGCACTCGCTGCCTATACTTTACAGTTGCAGTCATGCTGCAATCTGCCATTCCATACTAACATCATGCAGCTATGCTGCACCAACCAACATGTTTTCAGTCTTATTCTAGTTTGTATTTTAGTTTAGAAACTGTAAGCCAGCTAGTTTACACCTGCTTTGTTCTACATTTTGGGGGCGGCACCAGGGACCATCTTATCAGTCTGTTATGCATTGTCTCACTTTTGTGTACGATGGTCTTGTGGTGTGCCCCCCTATTTGCCAAATAAATTATTGGTTCATGTACATGCTCTTGTGTTTGTGTCATAAATAATGACAATAGGAAAAAATCAAATTCTAAAAATAAACTAAGAACCTACAAACTTTTTAAAACCAAAATAGAACAAGAAAACTACTTAACAATTATGAAAAACAGTGAACTTCGCAAATCCTTAACAAAATTTAGACTTGGCAACCACTGTCTGAAAATTGAAACAGGCCGGCATACAGGATTGGATTTTAAAGACAGAGTCTGCAATATGTGCGACAATGACCATGTTGAAGATGAACAACATTTTGTCATAAATTGTCCTCATTACAATGAAATAAGATTAAAACTTTACATTGTAGCTAATAAACGTATACCAAATTTTGACAAATTTAGTAATGAAAATAAATTCATATCATTACTAAGTGACGAGAAAATGTCTATTCCTTTAGCGCAATATTTAAAAAACTGTTTTATTACAGGACAGCAGCACCTACATAAACTAAGCCAGTAATACATTCCTTGTATCACTTATATCTTTTTTTTTTTTTTTTATAAGCTTTTGTACTTACTCTTATGTGGTATTTTCTTTACTATATCTGAATTGTAACCCTTTTCATCCCCTCCGGGGGATGTTGTGTGTTAATAAATAAAAAAAAATGGATAATGAATGAAGGATTAATACTGATGAGACACATACAGAAACAACTACAACTGAAAGTAAAAATCAGCAATAAAGAAACAGATACAACAAGACAACGGCTAAGAAGAACGACCACAAAACCTATAAGATACAGAGATAGTAGTTCAAGTGACTCAGAATCTGAAGAGGTAACCACTGATCCTGACAACAAACATCAACTGAATGATGACATCACAACTAATCAGACTAGGATCGCTAACTCAATTACGACAAATATTGGAACAAGAACACCAAGCACCAGGCCCAGATATCAACACACACCAACATCGATGATAAGAGAAGAAACACCAAGTAAAATTCCTGTAAGCATAAACAAATCGATAACAAGTCATGATTACAACAAAGATGATACTAATATGCTACAAACAATTATAGAAATGATGGAAGAAAAACATGACAAATATATGATGATGATAACTGAACTGGATGCAAAAGTCTCAACCAGTCAAAACGACATTCTCAAGAAAATATCTAATGACACCAACAAAGAACAAATCGGAAGTGAAATATCAAAGAAAGATAAAGAAATACAGTCCCTAAAAGAACAGCTGCAAAATAAAGAAAAGATATTAGAAACTACAAAACAGTCATTAAATAAGGAATCAGAAGACAATGCCTGGAAATCTATCAAGATCACACGACTTAAAGATGATGTACAAAGGAAAACTGCAGAAATTGAAAGACTAAAAGAGGAACATACAAAACAACTACAACAATTCCAAAGTGACAAAATAAATGCACAAGAACAAACTAAGAATGAAGTACAAGACATTAAATCATCCATAACAACTACAATTATGACAGAATTCCAACAACTTCATGAGAAGATAGATACATCTACTTGTACACCAGTAAATGAACAACTATGGACAGTGGTATCAAAGAGAAACAAATACCAGAAGGATGATTATATTCAAGAAAAAATGTTAACACCACATAAAAGTCCAGTGCGAAATCAAAACAAAAAATATAGTGACGTAGTACGACAACACTCTCACACACCAAAAGAAAACCAAGTCAGCAGGGAAAATTTAAGACCAAATACAAAAGACATGAGTAATGTACGACCATCCAAAATAAGACGAATCCCAGAACAAGTAGAACACTTACTCATCAGTGATTCACAGTCAAAATACATACAAAACAGATATCTCGCCAAGAACCAAATGGTACTCACCTACAGCAGTGCTGTAATATCCAACATTAGAGAAGTCATAGCTGATAATAACTTTCCAACAAGTCTTAGAAGTATTACAATCAACGTTGGTGGAAATGATATCGACAATGACTCAGATGTTCAATCAATAAAGAATGAAATGAAAGAATTACTAGAAGAAACACACAGGAAGTATCCAAGAACAAAGGTGTTCTTATGTGAAATCTTCCCTCGCCAACACTGGAGCAAATCAACATCCAACACTATGAACGCAGTAAACAGATACATCAGAAAAACAGAATCACATGATACAGCATTCATTGTAATGGATAACATAACACCCAACATGTTAGGAAGAGACGGAATACATCTTAACATTGATACAGGAACTCATTGCTTCATTTCTAACATAAATACAAAAATCAACAAGTCTTACCCACTGGAAAGAAGACCGAGAAGAAATCAACCAAGAGAACCAAGAGAATTTCCTGCATCCAGAGAATATAGTCACTCCAACCATACTCACCAACAAAAAAGTGATCCTCTAGACACCACAAATGAGTACAGTGATACAAGAAGACAAAGAAGATATGTACTGCCCTTAGAAAGAAATACTCCCAGAGGATATGATCGATACAACAAAGGGCATAGCATTGAAACACAATTTGAAATAACCTGTTAATGACAGTACAACAAAAAAGAAATAAAAAGTACAATGATACTATGGCACCAAATTACATTACAATTGGTCATTGGAACACTGCTGGTCTAAGATATAACTACAAACCAAGAGAAGGAACTATAGACATTAAAACAGAAGGTTCACTAGATATAGAACCACACATTAAAGATTATCACATATATGGAATGACAGAAACATGGCTGAATACTGAAAGTAAAGAACTAATACCACAACCTAAGGGATATTATACTTATCACAACATTAGGACAAAAAATAAAAAAGCATGGAGGTCATCAGGAGGAATCAGTATTTTCATCAGAAATAGTATCAAAAGTGGAGTCAAGATCATGTCAAAGTCTAGCAACTTCTCTATTTGTTGTCAAATGTCGAAAGACTTCTTCAATCTTGAAATGGACATCTACATAGGTACATGTACTATATATATTCCACCAAAAAATTCCACTTTCTACAATGACAATGACTGCAATCCATATGACGAAATCAACAAAGAAATCCAACAGTATAGCCTCAATGGACATGTCATTATACAAGGAGACTTTAATGCTAGAACAAAAGACCTTGAAGATACAGTTCAAGATGAACAGGACAACCTTCACATAAACATGCCATTACCAGATACATATACATATGATAAAATAGTCAAAAAAAAGGAGAAACACGCATACATGGAAGAATGAATTTGGAGAGGAACTAACACAACTATGTAAAGAAAATCGTCTACGGATATTAAATGGGCGGACTTCAGGAGATTGGTCAGGTCAACTGACATGCTACGGTTATCATGGTGCCAGCACAGTGGACTATGCAATCACAAGTGAAACACTACTACAGAATATCCTTCATTTTAAAGTTGAACAACTACAACAGGCAAGTGACCACTGTCCTATCAAAACTATCTTGAAAATACAAGCAATTCACTGATATGAATGAAGTCCTTAAACCAGTACATCAATGCTATCAATGGAATGCAATGAATAAAGGCATGTACAAGCTATATATGAAGACAAAGGAGAGTGAAGATATTGTGTCCACATTCATAGTAAACAATAATAAC